TCCAAATCTTGAATCTTAGACCGCTCGGCCGAGAGCAATCCTGGCAAGACGTTCACCTGTGCTCTCGGCTCTTCATGGGAAGAGGATGGGGCCAAATCTGATTTTCACCTCTGTCTAGGCTGGTGTGAAGCTCTGATGGAGTTTTGACTTGTCTGAGAAGTGTAGTGACATGAGCGGATGAAATGGATGTTAGTGGTAAGCTTAAATAGAGTACCGTGTCTTATTTAGCACAGTCATTGTCTATTTAAGACATGAGTGATTGGGGAGTGTTGTCTCCCATGGCAAACTTTTCCTTTTAATCTGGCAAAGGCCAAAAAAAGAAAAAACCCAGACTATAAATTAGTCGGAGTGGACCTCTAAAAAACAAACAAACAAAACAGCCCCCCACACGCAATACTAGCTTAACCAACTGAAAACCAGGTACAGGCAACTACACAGCTCCTTTTGACCCTCTAAGCCCGTTTTGTCCAGCACTACTTCTCTGAAATAGCATTAGCATAAATCTCCAGCCCATAGAGGTAATGATGGCGTGAAATTATGGCTGCCTCAGCAGACCTTATTCCCCTCTCTGCACTCCCTCCCTCTGGGTCCAAGGCCTCAGCCTTCGACTGAGACTGTCTCCCAAGCCTTCTTTCTCTCCATCCCCTCTCCCTCTCTTCTTCTTTGCCTTCCAGTTCCATTCAAAGGGAATGTGTAACTGAATTTGAAATTGAGTGCCCTTCTTTCAAGGACCACGGCTAATGAGACGTTTTGCCTTGAAATCCAGACTGGATGAGGGAGACCCTGATGGGCAAGGCCTGGAGATGATAGCCACCTTGTATGTCAGGTGTAAGGCTGTCCGGATCTCTCACCACTGTGAAGGGGAAAGGTGATTCTATAGGAGTGAGAAATAAGGATAAGCCTTCGTAGAATGAGCACTCTTCTCTGGGTCACCTGGGCTGCCATTGTGAATCCAAGAGCCAACCTGAAATAATATGCCCCTGTGATCTGCATCAATGTGCAAAGAGAAGACTGACACCGGCCAGGCCTCCCCCTTTTGCATACATATATTAGAAGCCCATAAGGGTCTGTAGAGACATAGGAGGTGAGGTGACAATTAGACCAAGATGGAAGAAAGTACACTGTAGTGGGTCTGAGTGAGTGAGATGAGGAACGATGCAGGACGGAAAGATGTAGGAGAAAGAGATGGAAAAGGGGGACGGACCCATAGAAACAGGTACACTTGACAGTTTGCGGTCTCGGGATCATCCAAGAGACTCTGCATGGGTGCGATGATGAAAGGAATCGGGAGCTTTGCGTCCTAGGAGTTCACCCTTTAATCAGGGGCCCAGAGGAGAGAACCTTGCAGCCTGGGGGCCCCTGAACGCTGCTAGCAACTGTCATGCTAATGAAAGAGGCTCAGGGTGTGAATGGAGAGGCTAGCTTGTTACCAGTGTGCTAATTAATGCATGTGTCAGGGCTGTGTGTGTGTGTTCATGTACGGGTTTTATGCATTTTAATGAGGTGTCTGTGTACGTGTGAGAGTGTGCATGCTTGTTGGGATGAGTGGGATTCGAATCGTGGAGTGAGACGGATGTGCGACCAGGTTTAAAAATAGGGGCTCAAGAGTGCAGAATACAGCAGATGCATCTAGAAACAGGATGGAGATAATTTGTTGGGTATTATGTGAAATCAAGACGCAAGTCTGCCAGCAACATCATCTTACTGCTCTGTTAAAAGATCGTTTTGAATTTTAATTGAAAGCACACACAATGGAATCAGATAACAGCCTGTAATTAATACATTACAGTAGTTTTATCTATTAAACTACAGATTCTTCTTCAGCTGCCGTCTGCTCTGTCTCCATCACTACTGTGGAAACAATCCTGTCTGATTTACTTTCTCGTGGCTGGCTACATCACACTGGCTTCTGTTGATCGGCGCTTTTGTGTCTGCCAAGTCTCAGACTATATGACTAATAATTATCTTTGGAGATGTGTGAAGGGTCTCATTCCAGACAACCCTTTCTGTCTATACCCCACGTTCCCACGGATGAATAGCTGGGGCTGGGTGGGTGGGTGGGGGAACTTGTGGATGGCCACAGGCAAAGCATATGGCCTTAGGCCGCAGCATTGTCTGAGCTTGTTTGGGAACGACTAAAAGAAACTGCATTGTTGCACGTGTCACCCAGACAAGACGTAGGGGCGTGTGTCAAGGACAAAGAGAAAGCCATCGAAGTCTGTGACCTTTTAATTTGCTGGTGGCCTCTCCCACAGACCACGGTACCGGCCATACATGCCCCCATTCTGTGATTGGGAACTCGATCAATGTCGCCGGTATCGACAAGGGACTCAGTTTGACGCAAACTGATGCAATCATGGTGGCAAATGCACGTGCTGAGGTTTCTTGTAAAATTCTTTATTCAACACGTATGAACTATATCATTTCCACAATCAGAGCACAGACGAATTAGGTTCAGTCTTAAACGTTTCGAGGTTAGGGCCTCTGAGAGACTTGCTTATTTTGCCTGAAATGTGAAATTCTCATCTGTGAAGAATTAGAATTATTTTCCAGGGCATCAAAACTAATATCTCCGGAGATGTAACCCAGTGCGGAGGTGATACACTAACGAATTATGAGCTACTTTTCCTTCATCAGTCAGCTCGCGCGCAATTTTAAACAGCCTGTTTCTACATGCTCAGCAGACAAAAAAGAGAAAAGTTTTTCTTTGGATTAAACAGCAAAACGAAAACACGTGAAATTTGCTTTAATTTAAAAAAAAATACCCTTTATGTTTTTGGTTTGTTTTTTTTCTCGCAATTTTCAAGTGAGACGTACCGTTCTGATTAACAAAACGTTCACACGTTCCATAGGTCACTGTCCAGCTTCAGGAGTGCCAGTTACACTCGAGGTGCCTATATTGTGTTCCACTAGTGCTGCCTCTCATATTCCACCCTACCCCCAACCTTGTCTGCCCTGTAAAGTGCCATTATAAAAATGTCAAGGGGTCCCTCTTTCTCGTCCTGCCTGTCAAAATCATGTGCTATTATGCAAATCAGTGTGTGAACATACATTCTCTGAGATTTACACAGGCTATATGGGCTACGGGCAAGAGTGAATTCAGATGATTGCAGACTTAATCATAGAAATACAAAATGCACATGTACATTTATGAACACGTGAACATTTTACACTGCCCCTTGGAAACATTATCATTGTGTTACATGTATTATTTAAGCAGCATCCCATGTTTTTCCCTTTCTCTTTATATAAAAGGTCATTAATGTAACGTTCATGATTTCTAAGCAGAAAATGAAAGCAGATTTTGAAAAAAACAACAACATATGGATCAAAGAGGCTCATAGAAATCTAAAACTTTTTAATATCAGTATTTGAAGCAAATAACTTCATGGGGGAAAAAAATCGGTTTAGTTTTAATTCCTATTGAACTCGGATAAATTCCCAAATTCCACTATATTCTTCATCTCGAGAGGATTTTCATTCACTGATACATTTTATTGAAATGGTTCAATGGCGGTAGGCCCTTACATTGGGTTTAAAGCAATTTTTCTCAGTGGCTGTTAGAAGTGCACATGAGATTTTTATCCTTTTACATTTCTTAACTCTTTCCCTTTTTAAATGCCTGTGTTTGAATTGCAGTGTCAGGGGTAGTTTTGTGGTTCTGCAGAAATGGAAGTAGTGTATGTGAGAAAAGAGGAGGAAAGGGATGTAAAAAGATAGAAATATGTAATTTTTTATTTTTTTTTTCTGGAAAGTGTCAATGTACCTAAGATAGAGGTCAAAGCTATAATGTACCCATTTGGAGGTTGAATCATTAAAGCCATTTACTATGGCTTTCATTGCATTGCTTCTTAAGTAATGATGGAGGTCTTCCTATTGAGAACGAGTGAAAAGAGCTATGTGTATCCTTCTGCTGCACCTGCCCTATATGGAGTGTTATATTAAAGAAAATCAAGAAAGGATAGATAACTTCACCTCTCTGTGACACATCAGGGTATCCATTAGCTGCAGGAGAGCACGGGAGAGAAAAGGAGAGCGAAACAGAGAGCGGGCCTTCTGTTTTGACAGCCATAGACCGGAATATCGCTCCATTGTTTGTTTCTCAGAGACAAGGAGTCATGGATGTGGTTTGAGTGACAGTGAGTGTGATGTACGCTGACGCGCAGAGCTGATTCACATTTCCTCTAATTGCTCCACATTGCCCGATCTTGGCACACATGTAGAGCATGGTAAGAGGCGCCTCTTTTTAGGTTGAAACGGGGAATGCTGTGATTTGGCATACAAAGAGAAAAGGAGGCACAGGGGGTAAGAAGAAGAGCAGGAGGAGGAGGTGGAGAAGGGCTGGAAGAGGAGAGCGCTCTATTATTCCTGATAGACTACTCTGAAGGACAGAAAGGTGATGGCCTTGTTTGTACAACTCTGTGGCATAATAATGTCCTGCGTTAAATCTCTGGCCAGTTAAGGCGTAGATGTGGTGTGGGTGCGTTAGATGTATGACATAAGGCACATTTGACCAATCAAGTGTCACCGAGGCAAGCCAGTTTTGTGGAAATAAACCAAATGGAGAAACAAAGAAGGGGACGTGAAGGGTACAAAATAGTGGCAGACATGGCGTCACTTTTGATTCATGGTGTGCTGAAGAGCATTGAGATTGGAGGAAATCCTTGCGGGGGGGGGGGGCTCTATCCTTGCTGATGCTATTTTAATTAAATAGTTGCTAGGTTACACATTGCAGAACGACAGAGGTGGGTGGTGTGGCACAGGCGCCTGGGCAAGGGTGTGTGCACGCGTGAATATTCGTGTATGATGGAACATGTCCCTCAACAAAGAAAGCACATCCCTTTTTTTCCCCACACCCAATCTATAATAAGGATTTCAAATGTGAGACATATTGACATGAAATACAGTGAGAGCGATTTTACGCTCTCTAAAACTCTCTCCAGCTCTCTCGCTCACTCTCCCCATATTCGTCTGTCTTTTTCATTTTTTTCCTCTCGCAGATCAGAGGACGGGGGGAAGCCCCCTTTCATCTCTGTGACAGCGCTTTTCACCTCCACTGGTGACTGGTGCTCCTATTGCACACTGGGATGCCAGACAGAGCAGAATGCCACAGGCCCGTGCGCCCTGGCAACCGTTCCTGCTTTAGATGCCCCCCTCGCTCCACAGCGTACTCTGGGAATACGCGCACCCTCCTCCAGCCTCCTTTAGCCGTCCACTCCGAGCCTTCCTCCACAACCTCCAGACAGGTCACTGATGGATGGAGTAGGAGAGCGCAGAGAGCCCCTTGATGTTGGAAATAAATCTGATAGGCCCGGATGGATAAGGCCAAGCATTATATTTCTCATTGGCCTCACGCTGAAGTGTGTACATGTGGAGCGGTTTGTCCTATTTTACTACACCATTTTCTTTACTTTTAACACCCTCCCTCATCTGCGCCCCAGCCCTTCCTTTCTTCTCCTCTATGGCAGCAGAGATAATGCCATAATTTACAGCTATGCATTGTAGAAGATGAATGATAGTTGCTTTTCTTGCTTAATATGCATTCACCACTACCAGATAATAGTCTTTTTGTAGGAATAATAAAAGAAATACCCTCAAATTTTTTTTTGCATTTTTATGTTATATCCCTTCTCCATAATGTGCTAAAAGTGATGTATAATTTTCAATCTTTCATTAGAAACAAAATTGATAATGATGAAAGTGTGCTAGATTTTTCTATAGCTTTTCTTCTTTTTTCATGTTCTTAAGTGAAATATTGCGCGAGGGGGGGAAAGTTCGCTTTTCTTTTTCTCCCATAGGTAGTCTCTTGAGTGTATATGCAGCCTGCTTAAGAACAGTGGGAGAAAACCACACACACACACACACACAAATAATTTTGCAGACATCTTTTTGCAAAAACATCTAGTCTTGATGCATATACAGCATAAATATGTATTCCATGTCTCCCTCACAAACAGCAATTTCTCTTGTAAATTCACACTTCCATGTCTTCTCAGCAGACTGTGTGGTAAAGGAGGCTGGAGCTTCAGTGTGTGTTTGTGTGTGCGTGAAAAGAGGCTGGGTTCCAGTGTCCAGGGCCCGGTTTCCCTTGGGAGCACTCTAAAATACTCCACTGACCTTCCTATCTCCTTCAAATGCAGGTCATGGCAAGGGGTCAGAGGTCACTTGGAGCAACAGGATGTCAGCGTGTGATCTCCGTGCAAACAGGTTCAAATTCGCTCCCCGAACACGGTGGGGCTTTGATTTTCCTTTTTTTGGGCAGGGGGGTTAAAAATGTATGAAAATGACCTAGTTTGTGGTTATTCGGTCAGTGAGTTTTGCAGAAAATAGGTGACACGGTAGTAAATATACAAAACCTTTCTCCTTTTTATATTAGAGACATACAGCGACAGCCAAGATATTACTGTTGAAATATCCTTTCAATATTAGACAATATATCACCAAGTCAACACCACAAAGTATTCTCTGATTGTGAATAGTTTCGACACCCTCCCACCCCCCCCACCTCGACGACTACACATCGACTGCATGTTTATGAATCTTAACAGATCCATGAGGAAACCTGCAGAAGCCACTCATTGCATTTCTGCTAATTGACCGGCTTAAAATAAATTTCTCGCTTTTACCCGGAGCAATGTTCAGTATTTGCAGCCTTCATTCAAATCAGTCTCAGTTCCTGAAAACAGCGCGCAGCCACATTGTCTTAATTAGGAACATAGGCTGGCTTTACAGCAATGTGTGGGAGGACCTGGAGGTTGAAGTGCTCCGTGAATGCAATGTGCATCATCATCCTAATAAAATATAACTCCGAAAATTAACTCTGTTCGACCTGAGGCACGCAAAACAACAGGGTCCACTGAGCTAAAGTGATGCAGGTTTTAGTGGCGTGTGCGAGTCTACGCGTGCGGACGTGTGTATGTGTGTGTGTGTTTATATAAATGCATTTGTGAATGCTCAACCACAAAGGGAGCAATTATGTAAAAAAATCAAATGTTTGTTACTATATTACTTCCTTTATTGGAGTAGAAGGGAGAAAATCGCCAAGAAGAAAGTGTGATGCATACTTGCAGCTGCTTTGTCCTAGTTCGAGCGCCACATTTGCCAAAGTGCATCAGAGTGTCAGCAACTCAAAGATGAAAAATAGATGAAGACAATAGTGCATTTCTCACAATTTTCCTAATAAAGTGTCAATCAAAAAGCTGCATGAATGACACTAATATCATATGATGCAGCATTCCATATCAAAGATATCACCACTGCTCATCCCTCCCCCTGCACCCCACCATCCTTCCCCAGCCTCCCTTTTGCTCAATCTGAGGCCTGTCCTCCCTTCGTATTATCACCATCATCATTCGGACATGAAAGGAGAGAAACAAGTGCCGCACCGCTGCCAAGGAGAAACCTTGATCTCGGAGCATTTGCATTCTCCACCTTGTTCCAGTGGATGTGTGAACGAGTTACCCAGGTGCTCTCTCATTGGATGGCACTGAAAAACAGGCACTCTGCTAATGCTCCAAACAAGCAGGCTCTCCCACTTCCACCACCCACCCCCAAGACGCCCCCCCCTCCTCAGCTCCACATACTGTCACACTCAGCTGGTGGCACTAGAGGGCAGTCCACTCTGTTGGTTTGTATTGTTAAGGCATCTACATACAGTAGAATTTGCCCTGAGGAAAAAACGGGACACAGAAAGAATTTTTTAAAATATATAATTAATTGATTTATTCATGTGAATCCCTTTAGGAAAAAAAATCTATTACATTTCTGCTTAATGCACTGCTTTTTTTCACCACAAGACATTAAGCTTTTGCTAATTAATTCGGAATGAACTGTTAATCTTCGACTAAGCAAAGTTTGTCTCGCAAAGAGTGGATTACATATGCAAGACACAGAGTATGAAATTCACTCGCTTTTGGTGCGTTAAGATGCCATAGTGTCTCAGATTCACGAACATACTGACACATCTGTTAGCTCACCTTAGAAAAGATGATGCAAAACTGTACAGTGAATGGGCAGAAGATTCATAATCGCATATTTTGCCCATGTGTTACACTTAAAAGACCAATACTACAACTCAGTAGTACACAACAGTATTAATGTGTCCATCTGTCCATACATCGTCTTCTTTCACTATAGGAATATTAATTGATAAAAAAAAAGGGGGGGTGAAACATTCCTGTTTTTTACATTAATATTCAAGAGAAGAAATTCCATTAAACCCATGATATATCGACACACACACACAGATTTGAAGGAGCTATACTGTGGCAGTGTGTCTGTGGCATAGTGTCTATCAGGAGGCTGCTAATTAAAGGCCTACAACAATGAAGCATGGAAACCTCAGAGGAACAGTGCTCATCTGAGATGAATTAATGTAGGAGCAGTGGTGATTACCACGAGGGCAGTCAGCCGTTTCATATTTCTAGCACAAGGCAGCGGACCTCAAATTTTGAACCATGACGAGATTTAAATGTAGGATTTTCATCGTTCCAGTCCCCCCACTCGCGCTTTATTGCGTTGCACTGGTAACCAGTGGAATTTTAACTAAATTATGTCAAGGTACATGAAAAGCTTATCAAAGAATACTAATTATGTGCTGGGACGTGAACAATGATGACGATCAGTGAAAAACTGCACAAAGTTATCCACAGCGTTACGCCTGAATGTTGGGTTTCTGTGAGTTGTGTTATTTGCCTTGTCAGTGACTCAGAGAATAAAAATTCTGAATGTTTTGCTTTATGATTTCCTGAAATTGATGTAAATTAAGTTGCCTGAAATCTCCTGTCCTGTTTATGTTCTTTTATCTTACGTGTCAATAAAAGTGTTTGAATCGTTATGTGGTCTCTTATAAAATACCTGACTTTGTGAAATTTAAGGACAAGTTTGTTTTTATGTTAAAATGACCTCCCCTTTCTCTGAAATGTCTGGGTTTTTAATTTATTTTATTGTTATCCAGTTGTTGTCATGCTAATAAAAAGACAATAATTGCACATAAGATGTTTATTTCATGCTGATATCAGACAATCAAGCTGTAATCAGCATTCAGTTCAGCAGGGAACCTCTGTTTTTCTTATCTCGCTTATGATTTGGAGGTATCGCTATAAAGAATGTAAAAAGAAAAAAGAAACCACCAAAATAAAAATAGGTTGGGAGTGTTCAAGACACGTGGAGTGCTCTCTTTTGGACCATTCATGGCACAAGGTCAGGTCGATCACGTAAGTATGGCGGCCGCATCTCACAATCAGCGTGAGGATGGGATCATTCGTCTGTGCGGGACAGAAAGCTCACTATTATAGCTTCGCCCCTTCAGAAGCTTCACAGTTCTTCTGGCTGTGTTAGGGATGGAGGGGTGTGGCGGGGGGAATCTCTGCTCCCTTTCCTGAATCGGAGCTCCACGCCGCTCTATGGAGAAGGGACGTCTGTGAATAGGACCCACTCAAGAGGCATAAAGGAACCTCTCCACTGGTTTGTTTTGGAAGCTGTCTTATTGATCTGTCTACCTATGAATGAATGCCATGGCCCAGTTTTCCCGCTCATGCGGATAATGGCACTCAAGGCCTGTATTAACTGGCCTGATGTTGTTCCCAGAGAAAAGAGAGTTTGGGAGCATTTGTCATTTCATCCCTCCATCTACTCCGATAACGATTCCCACAAGAATGGAGACCCCCAAACTAAGAAAAGCAAATCGATGGCCATTGACTGCCTTAATCAATGCCTGCTTACACGAGGACATATTTTATAATTAGAGAGATCCTTAAACACAATTACAGTATGAGTAAACACTCTCATACGAAGCTAGAAATAAAAAAAAGAATTATTTTTAACTTAATCTTTCCGAAGACCTTGAAGATCCAAAACTGAGACACTGTAAATGCAGAGGAAAGCTTTTACTTCCAAAGCAATTGGAGCACTGATTTGGACAGAGGACCTTATGTGCTTACAGTCTTCAAGTGCAGATGAAGCAGCCTCTGTATCCCCCGCCTCCCCCCATGCAATCATGAAGGCCACACCACAAAAACAGCTCTACAGCAAAAGCCAAGGCGTATAAAAACATCAGCAATTTATTAATTTAGCAGTTTACCAGAAACCACACCTTTTTCCATCACCAAAAAAAAAAGTTATTTGCCTGTGAGAACGAGCTAAACTGGGAGTGAAACACATAATAAAATGCTTATTGTTCTTTCTAGGGTTCCTGCTGGCATCCTTTGGAAGAGAGAGTCCACAAAAGTATAGTCTGTGTTGAGCACGTTCCTCTACTACAGGATGGGATGTCACCAGAAATGTCCTGTAAAAAAAATGAGTTTCCATCTTTGGTCATCTGGAAACAAGTTTCAGAAGGTGGCATGGCCAGAAAATCAGACAAAACAAAATGCACAAGGTCGTCTTTTAACTTTTCAGAGCTTGGTCTGATCTTCTGACCATAAGGAGTCAACTGCATCTTAAGTTTTGACCGACGTCCCAGTTGTGTAAATTTGTGTATGAAGCTACAAGGACGTATTAAAAAGGACAAATTAAAGAACATAATTTATTTAAGACTAAACTCTAAAGCAGAAATAAATACATGAAAGAATAACAGTGTGTGTAATTTGCTTTGTGAACCCAGCAATGAATAACAAACACTTTCAATGGTAACACAAACTGAAGGAGCGATGCCCAATAAGGCATCCAGTACTCTTTCGCAACCGATCAGAACCACGCCGTCAAACACAGGTTCAAAGCTGATTTTAGCCCACCACACTCCGACAACGAAAGAAAAGAGTTTGCCATTCAAATGAGAAATGTTTACAGGCCTCAATATGTGTAATAAATACAAAAAAAAATACAGATCAATCAATTAAACTGGTCATTAGGATAAATTACAATTTGCTTGAGGGGCAGATTTAGACAGATTAGACAGGAGTTTAAGAAGTACAAGGAGTGAGGGGTGTTAAATCAAGTCATCAAACAAATAATTTCCATAAAAAACAAACAGAAAATCTAGAAATTAGGCAGGATTGATACATTCATTATGTGCATATTCTCCATCCTTTAAAAACACACAACTAAAGCTAAGACTTTTGACATCAGGAGCTTAGAAACGCTGATATGGTGGTTCTGTACAAAACTGAGCTGGAATTTTGAAATTACAGCTCGATTGTTTATTAAAAGCAAAAGGAAATGACAGGCCAGAGAACCGCAGCACCGTGCGATTAATCTGGCGCCACATACCCAACATTCCTGAATAAACTGGACAATCGCATTGGCCAGTGTGTCATCTGCACAATGACTGCTTGTGCGTTTAAAATCACCCACCCCCGAGAATTACAGCATACAAAGGAACGGTAAATACTTCAATATCGTTACGTGAAGCAGAACTAGTGATTCCCTCTTTTTTTTGTCCTTTTTCCTGTGGGGGGAAAAAAGAAAAAGCAGGAGGAGCGGTGGTGCTCGGGGTTAGACTCACTTGGCACACATTTTTAAAATTAAAAAAACAAAACATTTGTTCTGTTGGAAAAAAAAGAATACAAATCAAAGATTGTTCTCACGAGGTTAAAACCAATGAATGGATAGAAGTAAAAAGAAACAATGTAAAGGCAGTAGCTTATCAACAGTTGCTGACATCGTCTCCTCACCTGACCTTCAGCACAGAGCCTTGTGCTGTAGATGCAGACACAAGCGTGAACCCTGACCCTGTCCCTCCCATTGAATCATCTTCGCATCTCCCACATCTTCTAAAAATGGCTCAGTTAAAACCAGGAAGATTCCAATGCAAGTATGATATCAAAACTACGCCTTTCTTTAAAAGAGTCTCTCCTCTATCTCAGTTCATTTAGACACATTTAAAGAAATCAGCTTTGAGTCAGCGAGATGTCACCCTTTGAGTTGAACACTGCTTCTCGCTTCTTTTATTACGGACGCCACAACCCGAGCAGCTATTCTGGGAACATCCCAGCCTGTCCCTCCCTCCTCTAACACAGACGCTCACCGGTTAGCAACAAACAGTAAGACTCTTCTCTGAGGCATTGCAGGAAAAAACAAAACAAACCAACAAATTATATTAAGTTTGAAAAATATGTTAAAAGTTTCAATCAAGAGACAAATGTGGGCCCAAGTGTGGCAATCATCAGTTTCCCACAAATGTAAAAGCACACACGCACACACATAAACAGCTGAGGTGATTGTAGATCTAGATTCAGTGACATCCTTTGGTTTAAATGCAGCTTCTTTAACGTGCATTGGGTTTAGGACCTTGAATATGCCCGAAGGACTCTTAGCATCCAGGCCCCTAGCAGCATGTATGCACTCTGTGGTTTAAATAAGCCAGACTCTTGCTGATGTGCACAATGCTGCAAAGAACCTGCATTTTCTAAGCAGAAGATGTCAAAAACCTGAAGATGCTGATGAATTAAACTCATTGCATGTGCTCTGTTGTGAACAGTTACCATGGATTCAACTCCCCTCACAAAAAAATGATGTAACTGATCAGAATTGCCACACCGATTTTCACCTAGTAAAATTAATTAATTCTATTGTATTTATTTATTTTTACAGCTCTTCCGACACACTGCTGATACCGATTACTCTTACAGTCTTGTTAAGGTTTAGAAATGTTCTTGACCAGATCAAAAGTTGTGGTCACATGTAAAAACAATGTCAGAGTTCATGGTCTATGGAGGAAGCACTGGAAGTTGAACCAGGAGCTCTGAGGATATGACTGAAGTTATTGTACTGGTGGTCAGAGAGAAGAAGGAAGGGAAAGGGGGGGGGATGTTGAGCTGTAAGTAGGCCTCCATTTGCCCCCCCCCCCACTCAGTCCTTTTTGATCAGGCTGTACACATTAGTTGCACTGCGGTTGTGTGTGTGTGTGCAGCTGGAGGGGGGGGGTTGGCCTGGTGATGCTATGCCGCCATGAGATACTGATGGTAGAAGAGGCCAAATAGGGAGGTGGAGAAAAGGCAGGCAGCAATCCACCAAGTGAAGAAGGAGAAGAGGCCCCGGAAAAGCAAGGGGCTGAAAACAGTCCGCAGGCCTCCCAGGGCCACTGAGAGCTGAGCTACTGATGCTCGGGCTCCTGTTTCTATCACCGTAGCTGCTGTTGGTGCTTCACCCATTATAGAGTCCGAGTTCATTTCATGGGTGCAAGGCAGGTCTTCTTCATGATAAACCCACCAGGAGTGACCACCTGTAATAATTGAGGAAAATGGGAGGGGAAAAGGAAATATAACCTGAAGTTGGAGGAAAATGTGATATTTTAAACATGAAAAAATATATATTTACCAAGCAGTAGATGACTCACCTAAGGTTTTTAGCAGCAAGGTTGTGTGTAGCAACATCACCAGGGGTGCCACATATTGTAGTGCAATAACACACAAATAGTAAAAAACACGTGCAACCTAGGTGAAAAGTAGACAAGAAAAGCACCGTTACAATAAGCTTTTTACACAAAATGTTAACACAATATCGTTCCAAATGTTTTCAACTAAGCTCATAAACTCACAGCAGTTTTTGTTTCTCTAAGCCCTGTTTCATGTAGGGCAGGGACACATCGTAACAGTAATAATGAATTGATAGATCAAGCAACATCAGCAATAAAACATCTCCTTCACATTTTAAGAGCATTTCAGTCATAAATAAAAATATTGATTAACTACAGGGATCAGTTTTTTTGTCTGTTGTAGACTTAAATCTAAAAATCTTAACGGAATAAAGCGTTTTGTTCTATCTGTAGTTGTAGTATATTATTCAGGCTTCTTAATTGCTTCGCCTCTGCAAAACCAGCATCTTAGATCAACCTTAACAACACAGTCGCACTAAGGAGAACAGTGATTGCAAACCTTGGCAAAACCAAAATTAATAGGATCGTGTGCAGTGAACCTGCTGCCTTCACAATGGCTGCTTTGAAGACTGCAACTATTCGCAATCTGTGCGATCTTCAAAGTTAAATTTCTGTCTTGATGCACCAAAGTAACAGCAATCAGTCTGCTATCAGTCTGCAGCTGAACGGAGTCAAGTTGGAAATTGCAATAACTTTGATAAACTGGTGAAAATCACCTGTTGCACATCTGTTGTGTAAACCAGAAGAACCAGTCTGAGAGTGACTGCAGTTTGAGACTGCACCCAATGGGAAAAAATTCAAAGCAATGACTGGGCAACTACTCATTTCATTCCATATGCCATAGGTGATGTAATCTAAACACTCTGAATCCCTCGTTTCAGTGCTCACCTTAAGTCGAAACGGGTAGTTGCATTTTCTTACATTAAAAAAACAGAGTGGTAATTGATTAATAATGATCAATAATTATGACTAATATCATGGGAAAAACAAAAATTGCCCACCATCTTCTGCAGGTCCACAGTACTTATCCGTCCAGCTTCCTTCTTCATCTGATCCACACCCTTCTGGGCCAAGTTGAGGTAAGCCTGCAAGTGATGTCTCATCATAGCAAGCCGCAGCACACACATCAGTACGATCGCCCATAACCGCAAAGTATCATACGTCTGTTCAGTCATCCTGACAGTAACAGAAAGAGAGGAGTGAGAAAAGGGGGGATGAAAGGATGGCAGTCCCCCCCCCCGGCACACAAACTCAATACATCATGTAGCCGCTGTGCCATTTGGATGGTAGGTAAGAATGCTGAGACAGAAAGGAAAGACTGTAAGAGCAAAAAGAGTAATAAACAACTAAAAAAGAAAAGTAAGAGAGGGTGAAATTGAGAAATTAAAAAAATAATGAAAAGGGGGCACTGTAACATGAAATAGGACTTAATCAGGTTTGAGTCGCTGTCAACAGCAGGAGAAAGTTCAAGACATGACAGAATTCAAACTTGTGCCACAAATGAAATACACAAGCTCAAAATAAACAAAGAGAAGGTGGAAAAAAAGGGCCTTCTGTCAGGCGTGACTAAATTTGTTTAAAGTCCAAACAGAAAATGCGTGTACTTGTTGTCACTTTATCTTTGCACTGAATACAATCGTTATCTCATTTTTGTACATTCCTTTCTCACAAATGGCGTTGCTTTGTTTACATCTGTTTCGCACTACAAAAGGACACAATTGCTTTTATTTATTTATTTATTTTTTTTTATACCTTGACAATGACGTCTCATCTCTGAGTGCCAGGTAATTAGCTTTCTAGATATCAAGGCAGTTGAACTGACTTCCCTTCCAGAGTACGGATCCGTCAACGTGATGTGTGAGACTATAGACTTCCGGGAGAATCATGATGAATTGTTTACACAGACTAAAATGTGGGCAACAAACTAGTTTACATCCGAGTTTTGTTCATATTCAGCCAGCACTGTGTTTTATTTACAAAGTCAACTTTGGACTATGATGATGTTCAAACCGGTCCAATTACTAAACTACTTATTTGATGTTGAAGTAAAAAAATAATTCCTTACGGCTCTAATTCATCCAGTTACAACACAAAGCTTAAACTGTATTTACGAGCACGGAACATGTTACTACACAACGTGTCCCATATCTTTACTTACAAAGGCACACTCTCCTTTCCCAGAGTGGGGTTCATTATGTAATCCTTGGTAATAGGCTTCACCCACAGCAGGACCATGATGAGAGGGGACAGGAAGTTGATATGAAGCAGAGTCCTACAGAAATAAACACAATACTTAAAACCAAGGAAACTCATTTCCCCCCTTCAGAATCATCTATGAATTCATACATTATAGAAAACTGAAGACATCAATGAAATAATCAATTTTTAAATGTTAAGACTGCGAGAAATAAAGTCCACACTACGAACATAACTTTCCCCGCGAGTGGTGAGAAGATAACCAAGACACACATTTCGAAGGAATGGAGATAATCCCTGCTGGTGACAGGGTCTGAAGATGTAAGCTCATGACACTTAAGTAGGGGAATGGAAGAGGAAGCCATTTTGGGGAGTCTGCTATGCCAAAGTGGATTATCTGAATGCGATGTGCTCCCTGCTCTGTACCCCCTATCATGGTCAGAGGCATCCCACCCAGTGAGTTCTGAAATTGAAATCTGCCTCAATTGAGCAAGCCTTCATCTGACTTGCAGGGTGCTCTCTTAAATTTGACACACTCTGAATAGTAGGAGACAAGTATTACCGGGCTGCACTTGCCCTCTTGATAGTCCAAGATAGGATAGTTTGATAGTTAAGCATTGTTTTTGTGACCAATTTGAGCACATCCCATATGAAACAGGTCTAATGTAACAAATACATTAAACAAAGGTTAGAGGAAATCAAAAACACTGTCTTACTTCAAGGCAACGAGTAACTACATCTGGAAGGTCCATTCTTTCATTTATTAATATATTTTGTATATTTTGTAATGACACCAGATTGGCAAAAAAATCTGTATAGAGACCTTCAGCCATTGTTTACAGGCTCATCTCTATCTGTTCTTCACTGGAGGGATTCTGCACGACACAGCCACAAGTGTTCCTTGCAAGGTCCACGTTAAACACGACGGGCCCCATCTGATCCAAACAAATTCATTTTGGTTTAATCTGCCCAAAGAATAGGCTGCCAATATGAAGCAGGCTTCGTTTCATGACTGTCTGCAAAGTTTAATCTTGCAAATAATACTAGGTAATCAAAAACTCTAATGCAACTTCTGCTCCAACATTTGCTCAGTATCATCTACGGAGTAGAGAACTGAGTAGCTCAGGGCTTACAGATTAATGAAAGCAGACTAAACAAGGTCAAAAATGAGAAAACTGCGGTAACAGAAGGTTCTTTATAACCATATGACCTTAATTGTAAACTACCTTGTTCCAGCAGCCACTTTCTTTTTCAGTTTGCTACTTTGAGTACTGAATTTGTACATCTATCCTTGAAGAGCTACCTCGTCAGGCCAGGACACTGCAGTCTATTTACACCTACAGGCCAGTGGACACGCTTTCAATGATGAGGATGTACACATCCTGGACAGGGAGGAACGCTGGTTCGAGCGCGGAGTCAAGGAGGCCGTTTACGTGAAAAGGGAAAGCCCATCTCTGAATCGAGGAGGGGGTCTGAGGGTACATCTTTCGCCATCTTACAATGCTGTGATTGCAGCCATTCCTCAACTCTCTGTGATGGTGCTCAGGGTCATTGATCAATGGTCATGAGAATTTGCTTAATTATGATGAAGGAACTGACCTCCCAGCCTATTGTTCCTTTAGTGGTGCTGGTTTCAGGCATTGTGCAAATGTACTGTTTATAAAATTGGGGAAACCTGCAGTCAGCTGAGACTGAAGAAGTCACTTGGATGAGCGACGAAACGTTTCTCCCACTGAATACGCTACGTCCAGATGAACAGAATCAACTTTCTATCTATCCATTTTGTTTGTAACTCTACACGAGATTAAATACTTTACAGCTCCAAATAGCACAGTTATCTTACCAGGTGAAACAAAGAAGCATATTTTTAATTGATATTTGTCTGCCAGCAATGCTACATAAAAACTAAAAGGAAAAATTTTATAAACTCTAGTGATACTTTTTTTAAAACTGTAAAACGGAGTATTGGTTCTTTGTATTTCTAGTTTTAAGATCAAACATTTAACATCTAAGGGGTATACGTATTATTGCTGTCTATAAAAAGGGCTACTGACGTATCTACAAAGCACAGAAGACTCACTGTGTAAATTTGGTTGTAGTTAGGTTGAGTGCATCTAGGTGCATTTGGGCCAACCGTAGACCAGGGAAAGTTAGAAACGCTCCGATCAGAGAGCAAAGCAGTGCCAGGATCAACTTGAAGGTGAGCTTAGATATGGGACCCCTGTGAAAGAGAAAATCCACGTTACTTATAACGGTCATTTTACAAGTCGTAAAGAATCTATGACAGCGGAGGAAAGAAACAACAACACTGATGTTACACTTACTGGGAGTCGAGGCCTTGGTGCTCCAGAAACTGTTGAGCGCTGTCAGAAAAGTTTTCAAAACCTAGAAAGGAAGGCGTGTTCAACGGTGAGCAATATTTTTATTACACAAAAAGAAAGCTATGGTGCAGAACTGACCTGTCTCCAGACCAAACTCCAAGTAGTTTTCAGTGACAATAAGAATGGCCATGGCTTTAACAAAAAAGAAGAAAGCAAAAGTAATGCAGAGTGAGCGCTCGCCGCTTTCTTCCAGCTTGAAGTAATGGGCAGTTAGAGAAAAAAGCGTCTTACTGTACAGTGCAGTTAAGGAAAACATCTCAAGAAGCACAATGACATAATCAGCTAAGACAAACTACTTTGCCTAAACTTTATCCTTTTGTCAAATTCAAAAGAAATGCACAACAATATGCGATGAACAACATGGATATTCACCATGCAAACTATTTTTCCTCTTTACAGAAGAACACACAGTCTGTGGATACTGAAAGACTCGTGTGAACCCTCACTCATTTAAAGTCGAACAAACCCTGCTAGCTGGTATGTGTGGAGAGTGGATCTCTGGTGCTTTGGCACCGCTGCATATGACTGAAGTGATGAAAATATTTATACTATTTTGCAGTGACTTTGCTCTGATGTTCACAGAGATGAAATTCTCGGATTCTGGAACATATAAGGTTACAGTGTGGCATTCAATCTCTTTCACTCAAAATCAAGAATAGCATTCAAACAAGTGGGTTTTCTTTTTACCTCTCCAACCTTCATTTGTACTATAATGCTCACTAGATAAAAGTTAGCATGAGGCTCTAAGAGGAATAAGTTTGAACTATGATGTAGTGCGTTACAATCAAAGGTGGCTTGCTAACACTGGGGGGATAAAAGGGAGATTTTTAAGCAGGAATTTACATTTTAGTAAATAGATTTAAAAGGTAAATACCATCAAATGTGCATACTTGCAGAATTCCAGTAATTCCATTACTTTCAGTAAATAGTTGAGAGAGCTGTGCAGCTGACCTCCAAGGCAAGAGTCTTAAGGACTCTATCAGAAAAAAATTAAAGGCATTACTTTGAACATAACGTGAACTCCACAGAGTTCACAGCATGTGTGCACATTTGCTATATGTATAAGTGACATCAAGTGACATTATGTATGAGATCAGAGCTGTTCTACAGTATGGCAGCCACATGTAGTTTGGCCTACTTTCGTTAATTAAAGGCCATGCATACTCTTGACAGCTGTGATGGAGCTCTGGACTACAGATGGCCACTTTGAAACAAATTATTTAACTGTAGCTTCTAAACTGTGACAGCTCACCTGTCTAATGTGAAGAAAAACACACACGGTGATCTGCTGTTAGAGATAGAACAGATTTACTGATCTACTCCTACATGTGTAAATATATGCAGCACTTTTGCTTTGGAAACCCTCACAGATGGCTCCCCGTTTGATGCTGTAGAAATGTCATAAACTCAGGAAAAAATACTTAAATTTCACCAACATCATACTTGAAAGGCATTCTGTGATTCTGGAGTTGTCCGTGTATACCTCTGGCAGCTGAAAGCATGCAACTTGTCTTTCGCTCTGTGTAAGATGAGCAACTCACAGGGATGCAACGGAGAAATGCACAGACAGCAGGAATCGTAATCATGAGCTTGCCTGTAAAATTGAATGCATGCAGTTTAACCCTGTGTTGAAAGTGATATGTAAATTTTACAAGGTCTGCCCTCATAAGACTGTTGACCAGGTCCTCATTCAGACATGACGCTGACGTGTGCGGATGCTGTCAGATTAATGAAAAGGAGAGGTTATGAGAGTATTTAAACATGTCACCAGGGCTGAAATGGGGAAAAAACTGAAATCATGTGTCGAATTAACACATATCCCCTCATCTTCAGCTTTCATCAGTTTCCTTTTCCCCAGGCATACCAGTATGTTGGGCTGTGAAAATTGGGCATCCAATCGCCAGTGCAGGCAGGAAATGACACACCGTCTGACCACAGTGAGCCACATCTGACCTGGAGAACTGGAAAGATTGATCCCCTTGGTCGGTGGCAAGGATAATGTATATTATTCAGCACAGCAAATAGCAGGAGGACGATAAAGGCAATGGGAATTCGAACCAGGAGAATCTTTACCTCTCATTTCAGTGCCATTAGTCTCCTCTGTGGCATTTACATAGCACATTGAATCTCTGTTATAGACATGTTAACCTATGTTGACCTACATATTTCTTGAGTGGCCACTTATGATCGGATCTGAGCTGCCCAATCTACATCTAAATAAACACATACATCAGATCCTCACAAAAAACAGAAGCTTGCTGTTTTTAGCTGGCTGGAGGAAGTAAAACACTGACAGAAGCTACAAAAGGACAAGAAACCTTGGGGGGGAAAAAAAAACACTGTTTCTTCACGTTTTTTGCCCAAGATAGCACACTTGTAACAATACTGCTAATGTTGAACTGACCATCATTTGATGTCAGACTATCATTTGTGGTGTCAGAACACAAAAGTCTTGATAACGATGTATAATCATAACACCGTCTAACGAGTTCTAATGAATCCTAATGACAAAGCAGCCACTATCAAGTGTTAGGTTTGATCTTCTGACATGTTTACATTCGGTGGTCTAATGTCACAGTTCACAGGAAATAAAGAGTTTGGACTGCATTATTATTTTTAACAAAAGTCTAAGTAAAGGCAACACAGTATGTGTAACCGGGCAACACCAGCAAGCACTAAACGTAAAATAGAAAATTGCTTTAAAAAAAACGGTGCAACATGATGAACAGCAGGTGCTGTACTAATGATTGCCTATGACAGTCTGCATATAAAGTTGAAATGTGCTAATGAATGAAAGAATATTTTTGTTATGCTAAATTTTATAATTGTGTAACATTTTCTTACTGTCAGCATATTATCAAATAAAAAGCTAGTTCACACAACAACACTGAAAAAAAAGAAAAAGAATTAGTAAAACGTAAAGACTGACTGATGTAAGGATACACAACAAAGGCGAGTACTAGTAGGCACCAGACCACACTGATGTTCATCTCTCCCGAGGGCTGAGCCACACTGTAGTACAGCTCTGTTATCAGATAAACCACAGTTGCTGCTACTGTGAAATCCACAAGCCACTGGAACTCTGGGAAGTAGTGCAAAGCTGCGGACATAAAGTACATAATTAAATCAACACTTTCAATTACAAAACAGATTGTATTGCACAGTATTTACAGGCTGTGGGAACAAACAGTCAAGTTACCTAATGTGTCCACTTCTGTGATGCATTTCGTCTCCAGCTGTAAGTCTATGTCCTTGGGGACTGTTAGGGGCTTACTGTCTATGTGACCATTGTACTTCCTTGAAAAGGAGTGACAGAACAACAACTTGGGTGAGAAAGGGAGAAAAAAAACTGGAACAGAGTCAAGATTTATGGTAAAGCATTTTTAAAGGAAAAGAAACCAGAATAACAGTAGTCTGAACTGAAAACTCTCATCTGAACTCTCTTTTAGGCAAGAAGAGAATCCATGACAGCTAAAAGCCTTACTTATGAGATCCAATGCAGCTCAAGCATTCAAAATTTCATTACCAATACTAATGTACTCTCCCACGACCCAGTGTGGCAAAATGTAGGCAACTCTAAATCGCTAATAACAAGTGAATGGAGAGCTGCTCTTTAATGTTGAAAAACTGTCTGAGGGCCTCCTTAGTTCTGGACTGCTGGCTGAACAATACCACTCTAAGACTCAAAGACCAAACATGCCCTAGATAGATTTAATTTCTGAGGCACCTGACAGGAAAAAAGGGGCTCAGCTACACCCCTGGCTGAGGGAGTTGGACGCTTAACAAAGAGAATTGAGCTGCATGGCACGAGCTGGCCAAAGGACAGTGGTCCCTCTTTTTCTTCTAGAGATTACTGAGCATGTGGTGATGATAGCCTTGACCTGCCTCATACAGGGTCAAAGAAAGGACTGTGCTACAAAAACCGCCTTAAGTTGAGAGATGGACACCATGTGGAACAGTAAGGATTAACCGTCACCGGTGACTTTAAATTCACATTTAAAATGAAGAGTACAAAGGCAATTCATTTGTATGGCCCAACATACACCTGCAGCTGTAGAAAAATGAATAGCATGGGTTTTTTGTTTGTTTGTTTAATGCAAAGTAGTCTCAAAGCAAAATTTGACACTTCTAGTATTAAGGCTTGACATCTGACCCCTTTGAATTGATAATGCCTTTTAGATTTCAGAGATGATGCAATTCTTTTCCCCTAAAACAGTCCAAATAGTAACACCTGCCGCCCTTAAATGTCCAACTTTCCTCATATCCACTGGACAGGACCACTTACATGAGCTGTTCTTAAACCCAATGAACAGCCATGGAGGAACAAACCAGAAGGAAATCTGTCTATTTTATCTCCTTACTTAAAAAAATCCTTAAATGAACCACATAAACACATCTTTGGCACCTCCTCTTTGCCTCTGCTATTCCCCGCTACCAAACAATAGCCTTCATTCGCACCCTTCCTTCCAACCTACCTGTCTTTCCTTTTCTGTCCTTTTTGTTTCCCAGCTAAGCTCCTCAACTCATCTTCCGTAGGGTGCTGGTACCACCGCAAACTGCGAACAAAGAAAAGAACAGCCACGTGACTTTGTACTCAGAGTAGTAGATGGGGAAAAAAGACAGTTTTAAAGCACGTGCGAAGTACATTTGTGACAAAGACACAGCCATTCTAACACACTCTCTCACACTACAAGAAGACTGTTGATTTATGTATCTATGTATTTTCTAATTTATGTGTTCCAGGTGCAGTATGTTAGTTTTTTTTCTAACAGGAGCAACAGTTGGTGCTACACTGTGTATTTCTATATGTATCCTTTTATTGAATTTTTGTTAATTTCCCCAATATACCCCCCTTCTTTTTTTCCTGCCTGTCCTGCCTTAGAAATCGTCATACTATACCACATATAATGAATAACCAAAATAACACAAATAGAAATAAATAAACAGATAAAAGATTCACATGTTGCTGTTCTTGCAAAAGCAAAATGTGTTTGGCACATTTAAATCACAATTCTGATTGTAAAAGCTGCCAGACAGGACAGGATTTAAAAAAAGGAAAGAAAAAGAGAAAAAAAGCACGCACAAAGGAAAAAAAATGACTGACTGTTGCTAGATTTGATGTACATTTGCTAAGACACCCAGCATAAAATAGCATATGTTGACTATGAACTATGGAAGGCATAGGCAAGTAATTTGGGGTTAAACATGTACCATAAGAAAACTGGGGACTATATAATCAATTGTTCATTCATTTCCCTTTCCCAACAATCAAAGACGATTCGTCTACTGTTAAAACTTTAAATTGCCTTACATTACTCTTCAAAAATGCTCTTTTAAGTGGTGACATTAAGTCTAGATTGTATGAACATGACTCAAAGCCTCAATTTATAACATCTCTAAGCTTTATGATGAACTTAGAGAACACAAAAGCGCGCACTAACCAGACATATCGCAAAGATTCACTTCACATAAGCGACGCTAATACACATCTAAAATGCATTTATAAGAGCTTTTACAACAGAAAGAGTATTTGTCCTTAAGGACTAAGCTTGAAATAAGACCTAATTCAGGAGCATCCCTTTAAAGACAAAGACCCTCCTTAACTTTGTTTAGAAACTCTCTTGTTAGCGCATCTTGAGAACTACTGTGAGGTGGAGGAGGATAGAAGGAGCAAAGCTTGCTTTTTTTTTACATTCTATATTTATTTACTTATTATGGAAAAAAGTAATTGCAAAATATTCTGAGGGGACAACGCTCTGCTTAGGGCAAACAGTTCTGAAAATGTTGAAACGGTGCCCTAAAAAAAGCTTATTAATTATTACAGATGTTCCAAAAAGCAGTTTTCTCAAAAACATATGTGGCACTAGTTAGAGGAAATGAAGCGCACCCTATTTCTGTCTTTTCAGGTCACCCCAATATTTTGCCGACCTTTGGTCTTTGATCAAAATGCTTCCGAAAGCTTTAGAGTCTGAGTAAACATTTTGATCCCGATTGTTTGGAACCCTTTTTGAAATAAACTTCCCAGGAGGCAACTAAACTGCCTGCAGCACTTAAAGAAACAGCATGTAAGAGAGTCTACATTACCTGCCACTGCAGAGTAGCCATCTTGCCAAGGAATAATGAGGTATGATTTTCTGAATTACACTGGCCATTACCATGGTAACCACAAGCTGCACACCGATCACACCCTGTGGAAAAAGGATTGGATTTAAATCACATTTAAAGAAAGAATAATTACGCATGCCATACAGCCGCTACAAAACGAGCTCAGCATGACCTAGAGGTTCATCGCTTCAGTATTATTTAGACAAGCCCAGCTACACCTAAAGCTACAAAATGTGTAGAATGCGAAAATACATCATTTAAAAGGCCAACAGAAATTTACAACCAAAGGGGCGCTGTGGCAGTCTTTTACTGTTCATTAAAACCAGAATACTGACATCGTAAGTGCTTTAACATCATTGACACCTTGATTTATGTGTCTTTTTTGACACTCTGGTTAATGCTACTTCAACACTTGCTTGATTGGTAAAGCTACAATTTGCAAGCAGCGGTAGATGTGATGGAACAGTAAAGACAGACAGAGAAATCTTCATCTTATAGTTACTGAAAACATTTTTTTCTCTGTTTACCACCTAAGCAGTAGTCCTTTTATGTACAACTTGTATTAGGCCATCATAACCAGCCAGTCAGTTGCATTATTTCATAGTACTGCTTGATGTTTAGTATTTGTTATTTATTTAATTCATTAGATCAGGAAATAAAGAGAAATATATTGCATTTATGCAAATTTAAAGGTTGTAAGAAAGCTTGTAAAACATTTTATAATGACCAGAACTGATTAGTCATTTACTGTGCCTGTCTCTTCTTCTATATCACAATTAAACACAATCTTGTAATGTCTTAAGTGAGCATAGAAGCTAGAGTATAAAAAAATATGGGGTGATGTGTAGCATTTAAATAAAGCAGACTCCAAATACAATTTTTCAGATACAATTTTAAAGCCTATTTTTATTTGAAAGCAGCACAAAGGCAACAATTCAATTGAAACTGCAAAGATTTCTAAGAAAATATGTATTTTCTTTGAAATCTCTGCTCATTTGTAATTTCATGGCATCAACACCTTATGAAAGGTTCCCCACCATTTACCTGAAATAAAAGGAAGTCACTGAAATTGTTTTATATAGAGTCACCAGCCCATAAAACTTCAAGCACTCTCGTAACTTCAGCATACATCCCCAGCTGGCTGGCTAATTCAAATATCTGCTTATTTAAAAACAAAAATAATAATATTTTGTTTTACAGCATTTTAACAAAGTGTTGTACTCTGTAAGTAACCTAGGTTACTTCACTGTGATGTGATTTTAAAATAACTGACATAAAACTGCAGCACTTTTTGGAACATATAAAAAAAACAAACAATGTTACTCTTTAATTTGTTACTTAGACATGCAATCAGAAAAAAATCATCCATGCATCCACTTTCTTAACCACTTAGCTGATTTAGGTGACATGCTACAGAATACTGGGTACACCCTCAATAGTTCACCAGCCCAGTGCAGAACATGGTAAAATCAAAGAATGCACAATTAAGCTTAAAATGATTTTGCAGTTTAGAACATTTTATTTTCCTAAAAGCAGGTATCTTTTTAATATTTTACTAGGTTTATAATATATAATATAATAATATTAGTGTAAATGTAATTTTATCTTGACACAAAACACAACAAGCTATTGAATTCTTGCTCTACTTGCCGGATGTTGAATTTTATTGCGTTTTGGTTCATTAGTGCTAGCCTACTCCAGACATTTCATTTTTTTTATTAAAGGTATTTAATTTGAGATTAGTTTCTGTACTGGGTCATTGCGGTCAAGCGTGTGCAGGCACAGATATCAATGGTTCCTACTGATTGCCAAAGAGAAGCCAACCCACTGATCTAAGCCTACATTGAGAGGATAAAAGCGCAGCATGATGGGAACGATTCTGGCTCCTTAAGCCTAAGTGAATATTGATCCAAGTGTGCCAGGTTGCTATTAAGCTTCTTGCTTAATCTTTGGATACCTTACACAGAAGCAAAGGCTCATGGCGACACAGACATTATGACAAATGGTGCAGAAAAAGTGGCAATTAATTTACTCTTATTGTATTCTTTAATGTTTACTTTAAGATAATTTATTATAACTTAAATTGTAGATTATGAAGCAGTAACTCTGATAATCCAACTTGGAATGGGAATCTGTTTGGAGTGTCTGCTTGTTGCAATAAAAATGTCAATATTTGTCACCACTGTACCAATACTCCTATTGATTTTTCTTCCAATACATATCTTTTTTCACACTCCTAAAGAATATAGGTAATAAGAAATGCTATCACTTTATAAGTACATTCACAACAAATGATTTGTGAATCATTTGGAATGATCACGATTGATGTATTGATGACTTATTAAGTGGAGATGCAAGTCACAGTTATACAGATCAGCTGTACGCTTAATGGCCTAAGAATAATGTATATAAATACATACATGAATGTATGCAGTATGCAGTGATCTGCACTCAATAAGAAGATGAGAGGCCTGATGAGAATTTAGAGGAAGAGGAACCATGACAACATACAATCTCCAGAATAACATCTTGACCAGCTGGCAAGTGGCTGCTGGTGGTTGCCAGGTGAAACTGGTCAAAAAGAGTGTAATTGGGTTGGTTACTGACATATTGCCGGGACTAAAAAGTAGTTTACATAGAAGACACTGACTTGTTTGCAAACACTTGCCAAGTTCTAATCGAGTGTCTCTTCTCACAGACAGATGGGACTTTTGTGTGTTGTTTTTGTTTTTTGTAGAAACAAACATGATGCAGCATAAAGGGGGTTCCCCACCAAAATGTTTTTGTCTGGCACATTCAAATATTTTAATTAATAAATAATGTACTTGGAATATTAGCAAGAAAGAAAAATGCATTATATACACTTATAATGGCCTGTAGGTATCAAATACATCAAATCAAAAAATATTATGAGCTCAAACTAAATTTGAAATAGGTTTCACTTACAAAACTGCATGCTGAAAAACAACTAGAAATTGATAGCTAGACAACCAGAGATTAAGAATGACAAAGAATTCACATTTGGGCTTACACGGTAATCCTCAAATATTTTAAAGTCATCTGAGTTTACATTATCAACAACTTAAGGCTAAACATAACCCTGTGCCCTGATTGGAATCCACTTAAAATTTACATAAAGCCATAAAGATTATTTTAACATACTAATGGTCAAAGAGTTTTAGCCGCAACAATGACAACAAACTGATTCTCTTTATATTTTAACCTTCAAAACATGCAAACATGCAATTTCTGCAATGTTACAACTCAATGTAAGTATCTGAAAATAAATAGCATTTGATGAGCTTTGTTTACAGCTAGCTGAAAGTGTTAAACAGACATCCGCTTCCAAGTTTGGACGACAAACATTTATCACAATGACAAAAAGCAACACATATTACTAGTAAATGTATCGCCAAGCAGGACCGGACTAAATAGCAACACACCTGTCTCTGAGTGATGGTTAAACCCATGTCAGGGTGAACTTGGTGTGTAAGGAGGAAATGAATAACACCTTGACAGCACAAGTGATACTGGCAGACATATACATTGGACCTAGATTTTATATTGGTCATGGGAATCCCTAGTGTCACCCAGCATGGGGTAAGCTTCAAAAGCTGAAGTCAATACCTCTTCTGGACTCACATAGAGGAGAGTGGGTGCCATTTATTTGGCAATTATTCTCACTTAGATGTGACGCGTGACCAAACACAACCTCTCTCACTCGGGACATTTTTTTTCATGTGAGTAATGGTCATGCTATATAGGTCAAAAGCACACACTCTTAGTTTGGTGGATGCTGACCACACTCTGTGGGAGACCTGCAAGGATCTCAGGCCTGAGGGAAATTGAGCCAGCATGGACTCCCTTATCTTGCCCAGTCCGCTTGACCCCCTCCACAGAACAACCAAATGAAATCTGTAGGGGGTGGGGAGTGGGAACTGCAGCGATAAACACTATCTGTAAGAGCTCAAAAACCTCACTACTATTTTACAGATGAAACTAACTTTGAAGCAGTGAAACCCTGTACTGACCAGCACTTCTCCAGTGTCATTCATCTTCACTATATACTGCTGGGTGTATTTAAAATCTTCAGCTAGTGAGGGTTCCAGAGGTCCAAGAACAAAGTTTGTAATATAAACATTGCAGCATATGATAGAGATGTTCCATATGTTGATTATAAAAACAAGTCTAATAGTAACACTAGATACTTGATGAATGAATCAGGGTGCGAATTACAGAATGCAATATACAAGGACGGTACAATGCCTATTCATTGTGTCAATACAGCAAATCCACAATACTTGATGCACTACATGATGATTACCTATAATACACTGCAATATATTTGTGAATTTCAATATTTGCTGCATTGTGTTGTCATTATATTCAATTTGAATTATGCGTCCAATTAATTATTCCTGTATGCTGGTGTCCATCATTTTACTCATGTAAGTAAACTTCCACTACGTTTACCTCCCCTTATCAGTAAGCACCATCATGAAGAGACGGGAAGTTGACTCTTGTAAGTCAAATTGGTGTGGTGAGGGGGGGCGTAAAAGTCAATTCAGCTCTTAACCTTGAGCCAACCTTTGAAAGTATTTTGAAGGTTACTACAACTTATCAACTAACCAAATAAAGATAAACATAGTTATAGAACTGTTAATAAGCATGTTAATACTTAATGAGTCAGTCACTTGTTAACGGTTAGTTCAAGAAGTTCAGACTCAGTTCTGTGCCTTTAATGCACATCACAGCAGATACAGTCAGCTGCATTAACCAATGAAGATACAAATTGTACCTGCAGGAGGTTATGCAAATTCTATCTCTATTATTTTAAAAACCTTTCCTTTACTCTGTTTCTTTTTTAAAGAAAGACAAAATCCTTTCAATAGCTTTCAATAGGAAATACATTTTCATGTTTGACACTCCATCTTATTTTTACTTAGGTGATGCTGTGTTAGAACTTGAGATACTTTTATAAATCCACGGCTATTGATCGAATAAGGACTGCCCAATCGCTTGACTTATATAAATATAAATGTCATTACAATTGTACGTACAGCGGGGTTGAATTTATAATTTATAATTTAATGTGATAAAAATGTTTTGGGGGTAGTTTTCATCTCCTTCCCGAAATTATCTTGCCAGCTGAATGGTAAGCTAACTGCTAATTATATGGTATATACGACCTACCTTCAAAGTCCCATATGCAAAACTAGTAAATGACAATAACTGCAAACAGTGTATGTGAGTGGACCCTACTTAACAGCATAACATATATGTATATACTATATAATATGTACTGCTCCATTCACTACTCTGCTGTCACCGTTTTAACTTACAAGCTACACTGACCTGCCGACTACAAGCATTTGCTCTGGCTAGCAAGCTAAGCTAACATCCCACTGCAGTCACAATAGCAAACGGCACAAAAAGAAAAACGCTTCAGAGTCAAGTTAAACATTTACATGAAAGCTGATGTTAGAGGCTGGAGACTTATCAAAGAAGTGAGACAAAACATATATAGCGTTGCGTTCAGGTGCTCGCTGTCATACTCACCATGTTGATGCAGTGCAGCTAAAACGAACTCTACCCCGGCAACACTGAGCTCTCCGACTCGGAAATCAAGCGGCGAGGAGCACATAAGCGCTTCCTACGATTCTAATACACAAAAAGAAGAGGTTTCTCATTCAATTTGTCACCGTATCTTTTCATACACCCCTACATTGTCAAGAAAAATCAATGGATTCTGCCTCCACTCCCAAGTATTTTCAACTGCAGTAGAGGTCACATTAAAACTCTGGGTAAGGAGGTGTCCACAGATGTGCCTGTGTGCCGAACGTAAAGTAGGAAAACTGAAATTATTCACATAATCACAAACTGAAATAAAAACGAAATTATAAAAGTGCTAAGATATAATTGTGAATTAAAATTTTAGCTTTCGCTAAAGCACTACAAAAAGTCCGTACTTTTTTGTAGGATTCGACAAGGCGACTATACGTACATATCAGGACCGCCCCAACCGGAAAAGCGCAAAGAATCAGTAGTACACGGGACAGAAGAAGCTGAGGACAGCGTGTTTGTGTTTAAGGTTAACAGAGGAACGTTTACAGCTTCGCAGACTACACCTATTACTTTTACATAAATATAAATAAGTGAATGAAAGGAGGGGTAAATAATGCAACAGATTATCAACACGCCCTTTAGTTATGCTGGCATTTTTTTCTAAACTACATCATAAAACTCATAATTAATATGTGTGTCGTGCGTATGGGTCTTTCTTTTCAGCGAAAATTGTATCTGCCACAGAAGATTATCTGCCTCCATCTCACTCTATCCCTAGCATCCTCCTCTGTCACACCAACATGTCTGCATGTCTTTTTTACTACATCCTTGTTCCTCCTTTTCTCGTGCCTGGCAGGAACAGTGCTCGACCTGAGCTGTCGCCCTGATGTATATATTTCAAATGTTGTTCATTCTGTTCAGTTCCAGTAAAAACTTTTGCGTCTTCAGCTCTGACTCCAGTCTTTTTTTGTGTGTCATTGCCATTGTTCCAAACCATGTATCATAGCGGGTTTCACTACCATCTTTTAAATCTTACCCTTTACTCTTGCCGCTACACTTTTGTGACAAATCACCCCTGACACGTCTCTCTTCTCCAACTCTTTTGTGCACTGTCCATTGCTTTGGATGGTTGACCTCAGGTGTTTAAACTCACCCACCTCTGCTCCTTGTGTGTTGACTCTCTCCCTCTCATTCACTCATATGTATTCTGTCTTGTTTCTGCAACTTTCATTCGTCTTCTCTCTGGTGCCTACCTCCACTTCTTCAGGCTGTCTTCCATCGGCTCCTTATTCTCACTACATATCACTTTATCATCTGCAAACTCCTGCTTGACCCCATCTGTGTATAAAGTTTGTTATAAATAATAAAACATTTAAAAAGGGAACATTTTCAGAAATTGTGCTTTTCATAACTTAAAAATAAAAAGTACCATCTCTAGGCAGTGAATATTGATCACACATTAATTTCTTAAGTTAAAACATATCAGAGATTATGTTGCCCTTCACCTGTCTGAAGTTTGGGTAATCTTGTGCTTTAAGACCTCAAAAGCAAATTTTTAATGAGTTCTGTGAGTTGGCAGGCTCTGAAATTTGATTGAATAGTGGCTGCGTGATGAAGTTAAATATAGGTAAGATTAAACAATAAAGAGTACTCATACATTTTGTACAATACTTCCACACTGCAAATGAGAGCAAGCCCTCAGTAACAAAATATAGTTTTTAATCTATGAATTGCACCATTTTTTCTACACAACAACACATGTGTATTTATTGAAAAGTTTTTCAGGCCATTTTAGAGTTCTCAATTAGTTGGCTATCTTAATCTGGGAAGGTGGGACTATCTATACATCCATTCATCCATTTTCTTCAGCTCCAGATTCAGTGTCCTGGCGAGGCTGAAGCCCATCCCACAAGTCACAGGACAAAATGCGGGATACAGCCTGGACAAGTCACAGTCTCTTGTTGTGCAATACTTATAATGGGTGAAAAGCGAATTCTCTGGTCTCAAATGAAGCACAGGTGAATATTATACTTAACTTACTTAATTGTAATGAAAGTTTACCCTTAAAGTTTTCTAACTGTTTGTATTTCTTTTTCTTTTGGTGGCGATTTCTTCTGGATGGTGCAAGTAGATAGCACCCTTTTTTCTCCACAGGTCTCTTCTGCTGTGGTGTTGTTGTTGTCCTCCCATTACTTCGCCTCCATAGATCACAATATCACTCTTAAATTGTAGCTCACTGCTGATAAACTTACATGGTCACCTGTAAATGCAGGACTTAAAGTATACTGCAGAATTTTTTAAAGAGTGCTTTTTCAACTTTAAATATATTTGGTCTCATAATTAATGCTGACAGTCCTCCAAGGTGGTAAATAGCATAGATCCCAATAAAAAATAAAAATATTAATAAATACATAAAAAACAATTGAATCAGGTGCAGACTGTCAGTCCTGTCAAATCAAACAAAAAGAGCATTTTTCTTTATTATTTTTAACATTTTGTTTAAGTTTTTTTCTTTCACATACAGTATTTAGGTATAAGCAAGACATACCACGTGCAAAATGTAATTATGTTGCTCTAATCATTAAATAAAACACACTTGGTACTTTCTATTTACGGCATGAGTCGTAGCGTGATCAGACATAACACAACTGTGCATTTGCGCATCTTTACATATGGAATGCCGTGTATGACAACATGTGGGTATATTAGAGTCAGGGTGTATTTGCACATGCGCATATATTGACTAAGCCCTCCTCTCTTATTGCAGGGATACATACCCCACCCCCTTGATGCATTGTGCTAGCCCCTCGTGGCACGACACATGGATACACACAATCCAGTAGTGTACAGGCACACTGGCTCAGCCTACTCTATGGCACGTTTTCCATTCAGCCAAGGCCCCGAAATGTCTCTCTGATAATTGGTGTTATAATTGCTGCTAAACTAATAGTGATATAAATGAATACAATCACGTTAAAGCAGTAGGAAGTCATATGATGGCACACATATATGCCCATGAAATTCATCATCAGCATTTCACAAAAGCAGCTAAAGCAGCTTTAAATAGGGTTGGGGGCTTTTTCAGAATCTGGGTTATTCCATACATTTCACACTGATTTCCTTTTCATTTATAATTGAAGGGAGTCTCGTACTGTACATTCTCCCTGTTGTATTCCATATCACACTCAGCACTATCGCTCCTGCTGTTTGAACTCTGTTCTCTCTGGAGCTTGTGTTTTTTTCTTCTTCTTCTTTTCTTATTCAGTGTTGTCTGTTCTTTTTAGTCAGGCTTGTTATTTTTAGATGAAACATAATAGCCAGGATCTTCAGTGTACTGTGAGAGTTTCACACATTTTCCTAGTGTTTAATCCATATGACATCTCCTCTGTGCCTACTGGTTCTTTTGAGTTTCAACTCACAATCCTGACAGTATAAATAAAGATGATGAGAATATTACAGTAAAAACCTCAGCCTAGTCAATCAAATAGACTCATTGTTGAATGTCAAGATTCATTTTTAATGGCAGGGCTTCTTGTGCATGAGATCTGGCGAGCATTTTACATCATTTTCTTCTTTTATTAATCAAACAACAGTTTGAAATGTGTGTCCCTGATCTCGGCAGTACACCTCGAAGCAGAGGAGGAAAATAGAACAAAAATCCATGTCAACTCCTCACCAGTAGGACTGAAAATGGTTCAGAATGTAATTCTCTTTGGTGCAGCGCCTCCTTCTTCATTCTCTGTAATCTACATGAATGCAAATTACAATGCAAATGCAAATACTCCTGAATAATTTATATGTAGTGTAGACTTCCTTTACAGAAACCGGGCGCTTTCTGCTTAACTAGAACAATGTGACATTCGAAGCACACATTTGGTTAACCACAGAATATACCACAGAAATTTACTATGTAAAATTCTGTTCAACATTTTTGTCAAGGTTTGCACGAATCAGGATTTAATATCTGAGATGGAGTCTCCTTTTTTTTGGGATCATGTAACACAGTACTCTCTGTTCTCCACACTACTGAATCCAGGACAGAGTCAACCACAGATTTGAAACATTTTATCTTATTGGTTAAAAACCATAAATATAAATTTACACTCATCATCCCTCTTTAGTTTATTTTTGGCTCGTTATGATTTCACAAAACAGGAATAGTAGACATATTATTTACCGTTAGTCTGTTACAGCCAGTAACTGTCCAATGATATTTTTTTCTAACCATAATAACTAAGGCAGCTAATATTTAAATAACTCACACATTTGGCAAGTTAGATGTCAGGTCCTGTTCTCCGATAAGTAAAAACTCACATCCAGTCCACAAAGGAAAAAGGCCTTTCAAGATCTCTATTCAAAACATCAATATCATTTCGCTAAATGAAATTCAAGCACATACAGCTTGCCTTTGTCTTTTGTGTCGAGGCGGGGGGGGGGGGAATACCCCTATTATAATTAATGACATTCATACACACTTGAACACATACGTTTTGTCTTCTTTAAAGTAAAAAGGGGGGGGAAAAAAGCTTCTGTCTCCATCCTAACACGTGGATGTGTTCAGGCTTCTCCCTCAGCAGTTTTTCCATCAGGGATTGTAATTAAGCAAAAGCATTCATGAGTGGGCATGCTCATTTAGCCTGCATTTGGGTTTAGACAGCTTTAAAGGGATGGAAGAACAAATCCTGGTGGAACAAGGCGATGTATGCTATCGCCAAAGCGAAAACACTGCGGGCAGAATAACAACGACTCGAAAAGTTAGTGACATTATATTGTCTGCACCATATCCTCTTCTCCTCCCCGTCTATTCTATCATGGGGAGTGCATGTGTTTTAATGATTGACAAATGCAGTTTTCTGTCGACAGTAGAAGAGCGGTAACATTATATTTACTTTGAAAGGAAATATTATATTATAATGCCTTCTCTAATTGTTTTTAATTGAATATCATTTTTTTTGTCTGTACTGGTGCGTGTCTTTCTGTGTGTGTGTGTGTGTGTGTGTGTGTGTGTGTGTGTGTGTGTGTGTGTGTGTGTGGTGTGTGTGTGTGTGGCTTAATCCTTCTTACTTACTTTTACAACTAAAGGTATAAAATGATGCATGTATTTTTATTACTGCTCTTACTAAAAGTGTCACTTTGGTGCAGAGTGAACTGACAGCTTAGACTGCTCATGGTGTTGATTTGGGATGAGGTTATAGTGCACAACACTATGAAAATAATAAATAAATACACAGCTTAAAGCAATGGTGTCATTTGAAAATAACTGACTAATAAAATCTCAAGATTAAGTCATTATTATGTTTGAAGTGACATGTAACCTGTGA